CCCCTGAGTGGGTGCCTACAGCTCAGCTCAGTTCTGGCTCTGCCCGGAGATAGCATCAGATCCCACAGGTGAAGGGCTCACTCCCACAAGACTGCCCCCGCTTCAGATGTCACCTGCTAGTCCAGCTTGTCACCTGTGCTGCTCACTGGCTATAAACTGGGGGTTCCCACAAAGCCCTCTCCGGGTTTGATTAATTTGCTCCAGTGCCTCACAGGACTCAGAGAAACATTTATGTACATTTACCAGTTTATTATAAAGGATACAAATGAACAGCCTGCTGAGAGGTCTATAGCGTGAGGTCTGGAAAGGTCCGGAGCATGGGAGCTTCTGTCCCCATGGAACTGGGGTGCACCACCCTCCTGGCACATGGACGTGTTTACCAACCAAAAGCTCATCAAGTCCTGTTATTCAAGAGCTTGTAGAGAGTTTAATCTGCGGTCGCCCACACCCCACCCGTCCTTCCCAGAGGTGGTGTGGGTGGGGCTGAAAGTTCCAACATTCTAATCCCTGGGCCTTGCTGGTGACCATCCCCCTCCTGAGGAAATCTAGCAGCCCCAAGCTAAGTTACCTCATTAGCATAAACTCAGGTACACTCTGAAGGGGCCCACTATGAATGACAAAAGATATTCCTGTCACTTACGAAATTCCAAGAGTTTTAAGATCTTTGTGCCAGGAACTGAGGACAAAGATCAAATAGATTTATTGCACCAAACATGGTTAGCAAGAGCAAATGTCCCCAAGAGCAGAATAGAAGGCCTTAAGCAGGGCTCTGGCATATACTTCTGTACATTTTGGGGACTCAGGAGTCACTGTGACCTCTGCCTGCAGCCCTGCCCTCGCCTAGTTACTGACCTGATCCCCAAGTGACACAGCTCACTTGCACAAGGGAGAGGACCCAAGTTCATCTGCGCCCTGGGACCTATTGTCGGAACAAGTATAAGAGTTCTGCCTGAGGCCGACCTACCCTCCTCAGTCCCCGCCTGACACCTTCCTGGCAGTGTCCTCAGGAGCCCGCTCACCCGACCACGCAGATTCGGAACTTTTTCCACCCCCCGCTCTCGCCTCTGAGGCCTGCCTGAGCTTAGCCTGTGGCTCGTGGAATGATGCAAGCTAACAGCACTACGTGCCAACCGTTGTTCTAAGCACTTTCGTTATATTCATTTATCTGATACTCACATTGCCCTCTGTGGTATGTATAATTATGGTTGTCCCTCCCATATAGATGAGGTAACAGAGGCACCGAGAGGCTAAATAATTCCCTTTAGGTCACATGGCATCTAAGTAGCAGAACTGAGAAACCTCAGGTATTAAAGCGGCGTGGGTAAGTATGCAGAGTCTGAAATAAGACCGGCTTTGGCATACCTTGTGACCTTGGGCAATTTGCTTAGCTTCTCTGAGCCTCAGTTTCCTCATGGTAAAATGGAACTTGAAATTCTCAGTATATTCCAAGACTTTTCCTCAGTCCCCTTCTTGACCTGTACACTCCTCCTAGGTGCTCCCATTCAGACTTGGACCTTTAAACGTCATCTACGTGCTGATGATTCTCAAAGTTAGATCTTCAGGCTAGCGATTTCCCCTGAACTCCTACCTCTTGAGCATTTCCACTTGAATTTTTGCATCCCACATTTAGCAAAGTGGACTCTTGCTTTTTCTCACCAAATTCCTTTTTCCCCCGGTCCTCCTGGTCTCAGTGCCTGGTACCACCATCTACCCAGCTGCTCAGGCTAAGAACCTAGAATCTAAATTGTATTCGTCTTTTTGCTCACCCTGTAACCAATCTTACATTAAGTCCTATTGGCTCAACCTCCAAAATATATCCTGAATTCTGGTCATTTTCATGGTTTCCACGGTCACAGATGGAGTTTCAGCCCAGAGTCTCTGCCTGGATCCCACGACCTTCTAATGAATCTCCCTTAGTCTAGCCCTGTGAATTAGATCATTTTCCTGTCTCTGCTTACAACCCGTCCATGACCTCCCACTCCTGCAGGATAAAAATCTAGACTCATTTCCATGATCTATCCAGTCCTACTTAACCTGGCCCCTGCTTCCTCCTCCAGACCCTCCTACCTGCTCTTTCCTTTTGGTTCTATGACAGCAGGTTGCTCATCCATTTTGGTCACTTGCTACATTTCCAGGGCCTAGAACAATGCCTGCAGCATAACAGAAGCTTAATATATATTTACTTGTTGGATGAATGAATGAACTGCATGGGGGCCTGATAGGCCTCCTCTCTCTCCTTCAAACCCACCACACTTTTTCCTGTCCCAGGGCAGTTGTATTTGCTGTTTCTTCTGCTTCTAGCACTCTTCCCCAAGCTCTGCATGGCCACACCGCCCCATCTTTCAGACGTTGACTGAGATTCAGCTCCTGAAAGAGACTTTCCCGGATACTGCCCCAGAAGCAGCTCTTACTCCCTAGGCCTCCATCATGTTACCCTATTTTTCAAGCACCTGAAGTTACCTTCTTTATTTCGGTCATATTGCCTGACTCTACCCGCCCCCCCACCCCCACCCCGCACAACCCCCAGAATGAGTCTCAATGACAGGGACCTTGTCTGTCTACTCATTGTTATATCCCAGCATCTAGAACAGTGCTTGGCACATAGTAGGTGCTCAGGAAGCACTGGTGAACTCACCGATGAACACTTCCATTATGAGGAATAAGCATATTAAAACCACCTCTTTGGAGAGCTGGAAGTTTCTAATAAAGCGAAGCAGCCACTTAGAAGGACCAGCAATCCTACCCCTAGGTATATATACAAGAGAAACAAGTACCTACATCCAGAAATTGCCTTGGACAAAAATGTTCATAGCAGCCTTATTCATCAGTCAAAACCCGGAAATAACCCAAATGTCCATCAATAAGGGAACTGACAAATTGTGGTCTATTTATATAATGGAATAAGAAGGGCTTGACATGGCTGAATCTCACAGACTATGTGTTGATCAAAAGAAGCCACACACAAAAAGGACATACTGTGTGATTCTATTTATACGAAACTCAAGAATAGAGAGAACTAATCCTGGCTGTGCCCGGTGACCCCTTTCCAGGGCGACTCGTGGGCTGAGCGGCGCACACAACCTTTGTACTAGGCGGAAGTGAGACAAGCCAGTTTGGAGGGGAAGGATTTGCATTAACACACGGTGGAGGGGTCAGTGCGGAGACTGTGGGCGGAAAGAATGTGGATGGCCTGGGTAATTTTGGAAAGCTATGTGCAAGGCTGCCCTGGCCCACAAGGGTCTGTGGTGCAGCTGGAAAAACACAGAACTTTCAAAGAACACCAAAGAGGATGCTGTGGCTTCACGACGGAATCAGATCTCAAAATGCAAAGCGCATGATGAGTGTGACCCCGCCGGGCCGAGGCTGTGTCTGTGGCAGGCAGGTGGGAGGGACCTGCGAGGCCGGCGGGAGGGGAGCCGCAGATCTTTTTCCTGTTCCCTGGGCCCTTGCCTCCAGGGCTGCGGGTGAAGGTGTTCCTCCATCTAGTGGTGGAGCAAAGCCCCGTTGGGGGGTCCCTTTCACTTCATCTGAAACTATGCAAAGCGTGAACAAAACAGGAAGAGAATGGTTTTGTAATACACAGCTACTTGATACGTAGTGAGGGATCTACTTAATAACCAAGAAATCAAGCCTTCCTTTATAAGAACGACCCCCAGAGGCAGCACACACAATGGCAGAGGCCCTCCCTCCGCCCCCTCCCCCACATCCACCTTCCAGCCACTTCCCCATCGTCCCTCCATCTGTCCCGTTGTAGCAATGCCTTCAGCGGGTTGGGAAACACAGCCATCGAAATGAACAGCTCAGTGTGTCACCAGAAACTTTTGAAACCTGAAGGAGAGCCGAATTCAGAAAATGTGAGGGGCAGGGCCTCGGAGATAAACCACAAGCCCCCGGAACTCTTGGGGCTGCAGATAGGCGCTGGCCACGGCTGTTTGATTATGTTGGTAATTACGTTAATTATGCACAGGTATTTACTGCGGTTTCTCTCCTCAAATACACTTCGCCCCAACTGACTAAAAAATTCTCCACTTTCTGGAAGGCTGGGAATGTGTTTTCTTGTTCTCAGTGATGTCCAGTTTAGAAAAGGGAATTTGGTGAGAGCTACTCAGAACAAGTGCATTAAGCACAAGTGAGGATCCCATGTGTCCTTCCAATCATCTGTCAGCTCAAAAACACGTGCCTTCCCACAAGAGCTCCTCAACCCGAAGACAAGCAAGTAAAGGAGATGAGAGGTCAAAAGTTGGAGGCAATGGAAACTTGGATTTCAGTTTGAATCAAAATTCTGCGTAGTCAGTACGCACGGGTCACAGCATTGTGAGATTATCCTGGAGTGAGTTCAAGAGTGTAACCTATGAGCTCAGCCTCTGTGGGCATGACAAGGAGTTGGTGAATAAGCGGTTCGGGGAACGAAGAACCTGCCATCCCGAACAGGCAGCCAAGACACAAGCCAGGCATCAGCCCAGCGAAGCAATAACCTGTCACTTGCAGTGGCTCAGAGACCTGAAGGAAAGACCCCATCAAGCCCAGATCTTATCCATTAGGGAAAATGGCTGAAGCAAAACTTGCTGACAATTAACTGTATCAACCAAGATGAAGTGCGACTAGTTCTATGTAATAAGATGAGATGTATGGATTTTCCCTGCTCAGTCCTCTTAGACCTCTGAGGGAATTGCTCTGTCTCATCCCAAGTGTTTCTGGTGTGTTGTCCATCAAGATTCCTGGTCACTGGGGTGGCTTGGTACCCCAGCCCTCAGCAACGGTGATCAGAATAAGAAGGGCGAGCAGGAGACAGACCCAAGCAGGACAAATCCATTGACATGCAGATGCTGAAAGAAAGAAGCTTGGTTAATGACTTACTTTTCCTATTGAGATTATTATGGGAGGATAGACATCTGAGGCGGTGGTGGGAAGAGCTTTCTGTAGAATGGGACCAGGCAGGGAGAAGCAAAGACGAGAGTCCAATGAAGAGAGGTCTACACAGTGGTCCTCAGCCTGGGCTGCACACTGGAATCACCTGAGGAGCTTGACACCTGCTGAGGTCTGGGGCCAGCCCCAGGAATCTGTATTGAATTGGTCTGGGTATAGCCTGGGCCTCGAGACTTTTAAAAACCCTCCAGGTGATACTTAGGGGCAGCCAAAGACTATCTAGAAGCACCGCATCTCATCCGTGAGGCCTTGATTCAACAGCACTTCCTGAGTCTGTAACCCATTTCGTGCCTTCCACTGTCGATAACTTTTCTTTTTTAGCTTAATTTAGTTGGAATTGAATTTCTGGCCAAAAGAGATCTAAGCAAAAAACTAAAAAGACCAATCATAGTTAATACCTATTCAGCATCAGTGACATACTAGGCAGTTTGAAATGCTTTTCTTCTGTTAACTCATTTAATTTAATCCCTAAGTTCCCAGAGTTAGAAAAACCATGATTGTCCCTATTTTACAGAGAAGGAAAAGAGACTTGCCTAAATTTTCCCAGCCTATAAAAGGAGAGCTGGAATGTGAACCCAGAAACTTCCTTAACCACCACACTTCAAGGTAAGGCCAAGAAAGGAGGCACATTCTCTGCACAAAGCCCAGAAACGGGGTCTCCAAACAACCAGAATATGAATACTTTTTTAAAAAGATTTATTTATTTATTTGAGAGACAGATAGAGAGAGAGAGAGAGCTCGAGCAGGGGGAAGGGGCAGAGAGAGAAGCAGACTCTCCACTGAGCCGGAGCCCTATTGGGCTCGTGGGGCACATGGGGCTTGATCCCAGGACCTGGAGATCATGACCTGAGCTGAAGGCAGAGGCTTAACCATCTGAGCCACCCCGGCACCGCAAGAATATGCACACTTTTATCAGGAAGGAGCTTTTGGTTGTCCTAACCGAAAACCCCAGCTGCAGTGGCTTGCACAATTACTTACCATATCAAAGGAATGGAGCCAGAGCAGTTCCGGGCTTGGCATTCTGGGGCTCATGTTAGGTCATCGTCATCGGGTACCTCACTTCACTCCACCTTTCTGCTCTGCTCTGTGCACTGGCCTCTTCCTCAGGCCGGCTCTCCTCAAACTAGCCTGTGGTTGCAGTCCCCCAGACAGCATGTCTTCATAGGGTGATCCCAGGCAGAGAGATCTACTGTTGATGCCCTGGTGTCTCTTTTTATCGGGTAGAAACACCTTGTGCTAAAGACCTCCTGTAGGATTCCTCTTGAGCTTCATCCCAGGAAAGAGGGATGGGAGCATCAGGGTTTGTTTGGATCTGCGGTTCTCAGCTGGGGTGGTGAAGCCTTGCAAAGGAGCAGAGCACGTTTTCAGTGGGCACGGTGATTCTGACCATTCGCACCTAGAGATGTAAAGGCCAGAACTGGTGAATGCCCTGCGGTACATGGGATAGTCCATTCTTATGAGCTGCATGATTTTTGAACATCTCATTGAACATTCCCACAGGTGAAGACACTGTTCAAAATGATCTGAGCTAAAACCTACTTCTCTTTTATCTGTAAACCCAAAGCATTTAAAAAATACATTGTATTTTCCAGGAAAACGACTACTGAGTACATCAAGGGAATACCCTGCTTTGTTTTGTTCAGGACTTTTGGAAAAGTCGTTCACCGTCGTAGAAAATCACATGAGCAATGCCCACACCAGTCATGGAATCTGAGGGTCCCCTACAGCAAAACTGTCCGGGCCTGCCCTGGCAACTGCCTGATTCACAAGGCTTCTGGGTATGGACCCTCGCACCTGGAACGTTCTTATTTATTTCTTCCAGGTGTGGTCCTGCTGAGCACTTGCATGTTGAAATACACCCTATTTTCTTTTAAGTTATTTTCCTTTTAAATTCTACTTTGCATTTTAGTCCATTCCGGTGGTTGCTTATCAACAAGAGAAATTGATTTCTTCCAGTTCTGGAGGCTAGAAATCCAAGATCAGGCGGGGCAGCATGATCAGGTTCTGATGAGGGCGGAGGGTCATTTTGCCTTTGTATCCTTTTTTTTTTATTTTTAAAGATTTTATTTATTTATTTGAGAGAGAGAGCATGAACGCAGGGCAAGCAGAGGGAGAGGGAGAAGCAGGCTTCCCGCTGAGCAGGAAGCCCGACACGGGACTTGATCCCAGGACCCTGGGACCATGACCTGAGCCGAAGGCAGCTGCTTAACCGACTGAGCCACCCAGGCACCCCTTGCATTTGTATCCTTACATGGCAGCGAGAGAGAGTGAACTCTCTGGAATGTCTTTTATAAGGGGCACTAACCCCATCCCCCAGGGCTCCACCTCATGACCCAATCACCTCCCCAAGGCCCCACCTGCTAACACCATCACATTGGGGGTTAGGATTTCAACATCTGAATTTTGGGGGACACATTTAGTTCATAGCATTTTATAATAGGGTCATTGAATTTTTTGAAATTATATGTATAGATTCTATTATCTATAAATATCATTTCAATGTAGGAAAGGGGAAGTTATAAAAATATTTGCCATAAAAAGAGGGCGTTGGATCCGACAGAATGGGAGCTGCTCTCGAGAGCGATCGAGATTCACCTGCCGGGCTGAGAATGGGACTCATGGCCCTGCCAGGGCCTGGGCAGAGGAAGCTGGTGTCAGGACAAAGTCGGGTTCCTTCGGGAAGGAAGGAAGAAGCAGGCCTCGGCAGCGGAGCGGGAAGGACGCTGTTGGCGCCAGTTGGCTCCCAGTGGCCCGGGGTTGGCAGGGGTATTCCGGGCAGTGGGGAGAGGACGTTGTTGCGGAAGAAGATCCGCATCCTCGGCTCCACCTGGCCTGGGTCCAACACCACTGACCAAACCACTTGCCTGCCTTGGATTGCAGTGTCACCCAGCAACCTTCTGATGACAAATGTGGCCTCCTGGCTGCTTCCATACTGGGAAGAATTGGTGGGGAGCGGGGGGGGGGGAGGGGGGAAGGTGCTCCCCGCGCTGGCGACTAAGGTTCTGGTTCCGGCAAAGAAGCATCTTCAGTTGCGACAGATACACTGACCTTCCGGTCAACGCATCATCTCCTGTGAATTTGGTTAAATCAGTCCAGGGCCTCGGAACGGACTGATTCTGGGTGTCCTGACAAAGTGGAGTTCTGGAACTGGCCAAGCAAGGGTGGGGTGGGGGGAGACCACTGCCAGGCACTGTCACCTGCTGGGCCCTTTCTGGGTAACCCGTGGCTTCCCAGCTGTTGCCGGGGGTGCACCCTGTGGGCTAATGCAATGTCACACAAGGCCCACGGGCAGAGCCAATTAAAGGGGAGCTGCTCTGCTTGGCGGCTGGGAACGGGAGGCCCAGAGACAGCTACCCACCTTCCCACAAGTCCCTCTCTGTGGTGTGGGCTCCCCTGAATATCTGAGGGCCTCTGACAGCTTTTGTCCACTCTCTGAGTCTCAGGGTACAATGTCTGCCTCAGACACCCCCCAACCAGTTCCTCCCTGGGAACCAACCCCATAGAAGCTCCTACTCGGGGACTGGGTCCCCGTTGCCCTCCCCCAGCGGTGCACGCAGAGAAGACCTGTCATATTCACTGAAGAGATAGGAAGGCCGAGGGGTTTGTGTCCTACTGTGGCCACGACTTCCAGCTTAGGTTCCTTCCAAATCATTCTGCTTTTGCATCTTAAAAGTGAGGGTGAGCAACCAGCTCAGGTGAAGCCACAGTTAGATGGGCAGAGCATTTAAAACAACAAGCACCAAAATAGGAAAACCCATCAAAATATTAAAAGCATTAAAAATTTCATAAAGCCAAGTCATAGGTACATAAGGCCACCAGCTTTCCACCCTTTATGACAAAAAACATGGGTGTTTTCTTTCCATTCCTAAAGGGTGCAGGGTTCAGCATCCCTGCATGGAGGACTCCAGAAAACCAGGACTCTTAAGCTCAGAGATGGTTTATGTTTCCCACAGACCCAAGGGCCTAGGACCACTCCAGCTACGGAAGATGCATGGTAGGGGCGCTTGGGTGGCTCAGTTGTTAAGTGTCTGCCTTCGGCTCAGGTCATGATCCCAGGGTCCTGGGATCGAGCCCCGCATCGGGCTCCCTGCTCAGCGGGAAGCCTGTTTCTCCCTCTCCCACTCCCCCTGCTTGTGTTCCCTCTCTCACTGTGTCTCTCTCTGTCAAACAAATAAATAAAATCTTTAAAAAAAAAAAAAAGAAGAAGAAGAAGATGCATGGTAGCCACAGGCCCAGGGGTGGTGGCAGTACCGAAAATGGAGATGTGGTCCTAGCTCCCAGGGGCTACAGCAGCCATGATTGTAAGTCCTGGAGGTGTGGCTGAAGGGGCTCAGGACCAGGGCAGTGCCTTCCCTCAGCCTCATGAGCAGCTGAGGCATAGAGAACATGGTACTTGCTCATGACCATCCATTTGACAAACATTTATTATTTTCTATTCTATTTTCTATATTCTATCCTATTTTCTATTTTCTATTCTGTTCAAGCTCTGTTCCAAGTGCTCAAGACAGGTGAGGCTGAGATCAAAATGGGATGGGATGGACCTCAGCAAGTACCTCTTATAGATGCAATATTTTTTTCTTTATGCTTTTCTATATACAAAAGGGGCTTATTGCTTTTAAAAATTAGGGGAAAGGCTATTAAAGTAAATTATTAGAAACTGTTTTGTAATAAATGTCCATGAAGAAAGTAAAAATGTGGAAAGGAAATACCAGAAAATTTCACATCTGCAGTAACAGTGGACTTTGGACTCTGAAGAGGCCTTAGGAGTCAGAAAATCAACACCAGATGGTTCGAGAGAGTTGATTCTGAGCTGTTACTGTCAAAGAAATCCGAGGAGGCAGGCACTGTGTCCATTTGGCTGCCATCTTATCTTGGCCTGTAGCACACAGCCTGTTATGTAGTAGGCACTCAACATATTACTGAACAAATAGTTGTTGGGCAAAGCTTCATGGATATGGCGACCTGGCCACCTGCGAGGCGACCTTGAGAGATGTCTTTTCTTATTGCCACTGTTCCACTTGCCTTCATTTCTCCCTTGGCAGCATGAGTAACTTTCAGGTGCCCTCTGACCCACTCCTAACTTCTCATCACATTCGTCAGGCGTCCTTGCATTTTCATTTTTCCCACAACGGTCCTTGATTTAATTTTGTCCTCATTTCATTTATACCTGCTCTTCCTTCATCCTTTTCTACTATAAAAGACCATGTCTTGTTGTGTCCTCACAAAGATGCAAAACAGTCTTCTAAAATCCACAGATAATACTCTGGTTTCTCTTCAGATCGCATAAATCTTTCGCCTTTTACTAAAATCCACAGATAGCACAAACATCCAATTTAACCAGCAGTTTCAAATCCTCCTCCACTGATTTTTTTTTTTTTTTTTTTTTTCCATTAGAGGTGCCAAGTAGCAAGGCTCAGCCCACCTTCTGGGGCTGGATCTAACAAAATGTGAACTCATCAGAAGGCAAGTAGGTGGGCACAAGAAGAACAATGAGAAGTTGGGGATTGTTGGCCTTTCTGAAATAGAAAATCGGCCACGCTTTCTCGCTCTGTTGGCTTTATTTAGAAGAATCACAGTATCAGTACTGTTGGTTTCAACTGGGGGCTGCCAGGCTGAATTCTTAGAAAGGCCAGCACACTGTTTGCCACTAGACTCAGCTCCCGGACAGAGCACGTAAAATGGGTCTTTAGTGACTATAGGCAGGAAGAAGTGATGGAGCAGGAGCTCACCTCCCAGAGCGGAGGCCCTTGTCATTTGCCTCAAGCTTTAAACTCTACCAGTTTGAGCTTCTGCTTTGACACAGACCCAACCCAGGCTGCAACCGCCAGCATTTTAGACTTCCTGAGACCCGGCTCTTGCTAAAGGCCTTCCTACGGCCTCTCATTTGCTTGCCATTCGAGGCTGCACATTATCTAACAGAATCAGACCGTATGCTGTTCTCCAAATCACACGCATCAACCTCTGCCCAGATTTACACTCTGGTGCTGGAACATGTCTGCACTTCTCACCATTTTGCCTTTTCTACTGTCATTCCTTAAACCCCCAAATGTAGGTATTTTTCAAGATCTAGCCCTTCCATGGAAGCTTCCCTGTTTCCCCCAGCTCGAAGTGATCAGCACTGTATTCGTATGTCTCTTATAACACTTAACACATTTTGCTTTCATTATATCACAGTAGCTTATGTTCCCTATGACTTTAATGTTCTCAGAAATGTGGATCATGACCCACAAGTGAGCTTTGAAATCCCTTTAGTGGGTCATGACCTGAATTCTTAAAAATTAAATAGAAAAAATAGAACATTTTAGAGCACATTACACATAAACATATTTCTCACTTTGGTTCATAATCAAAAAGCTAGAAAGTCACTGCCTCACATAGTAATGATGTTTCCAGCTTCTATGTAACAGAAGGCCTTAATAACCAGCTTAAATAACAAAGGATTTATTATCTTATAAGATGAGAAGTCTAAAAGTGGAGGCAGCTCTGGGTTGGTTTATCATCAACTTAGCAACATCAAGAACCCAGCTTTTTGCCATCTCTGTCATCCTTCTGGCTACCTCCCCTCATGTTTGCAAGATGGCTGCAGGAGTTCCTTGCATCATACAAACGTCCAGCGATCAAAAAAAGCAGTTACTTATTCTTTGGATCTCTTTTTATCAGGAAAGAGATCTTTCCCAGAACTCCCCACCCCCGTCAACTCCCAGCAGAACTCCTTTCATTTCTCATTGAAATAAACTGAAATAAAATGAATGATATGCCCCGCCAGGAGTGGCAAGGAGAACCAAAATCAGTTTAGATGAGGATAAGAGCACCTTCCGTGAGCACTTATCTGGTCAGGAAGAAGGGGGAGATTGATGGCTCTGATGTGGGCAAGGCAAAGTATTGGCCAGCTCCCCACAAAGCGCATTGGGGCAGGACCAGAGTCTCTCTTCATATGCTCTGCAACACATACCACGGAGCCAGTCTAGACAGTTACCTCAATTTTCAGTGATAAATTAAATCAATCACTTTGCCTCAAAGTATAAATATTCATGGGATACATAGATCAAATATCCAATCTGACATACTGGAGGCATTCTGCAGACATGAGTTGCCAATCTATAACTCACCAGAGGCTAGGATTTTCTTCTGTTTTAACTTCTATTGAATTTTTAAACGCGAAGGGCTAGCTTAGCAACACTGTACATTGTAATACCATTTAAATAATAAAATACATATTTGTCACAATGCAGATGGCAAGTGAAGATCCCACAGATGGAAATGTGGCTCCTAAGAGGAGATGGTAAATGTGTGGTGGTGGGTGTGGAGAGATGGCTGTATTGGGCTAGAGAGACATTACGTCATCCCAGATATGGGCTTTTTTTGGGAACCTGGCAGGATTACTGCTGAATCATTCAGCTAGGCAAATTAGTGGCATGTTAGTTGGACAAAGGTCCCTGTAATTAAGCCCTGGTACCACCACAGTCCTTGGCATCTTTCTATTTCTGTGGCCGTGTAAGGCCAGACTTGAAAGCATGTATACATAAAATAATCATATCTGCAAGAGTTAGGGGCATTACAGTATGGAGCCAGCACATTTCTCCTCTCTTCCTCTACACAACACGTGCACGCACGCACACGCACACGCCTCCTATTAGAGAAACCACAGGTTCGGAAAAACTTAAACTGCAGAAAACCTTTTGCCTCTGGGATTCCTAGAATCCTTTGCTGCTGGTACACATGCAAGATCCTCCCACCTGTCCAGTAGGGAAAACGAGCCTCGTGAGTGTCTTGAAATTCCCTGAAAGATGGCCTTGGTTCTGGAGTCACAGGGCAAAACTCTTCTCACCTGCTAGACCACAGGATGCTGCAGGTGACTCTGGTTGTCCTCGTGGGGCAGGAGACTTGCCTCCACTCTTGCCTCTGCTGCTAATTTATGACCTCGTTGTAAGGCTGTGTTGGGTCTGCGGGTCTCGGGCACGGTCCCAGCTCTGCCAGAGCTTGCTTGAAGTTCCACGTTCAGTTTCAGGAGCCTCATTTTAAGAAGGTCCTTGGCCAACCAGATGGTGTGCTTGCTGCCGGAACACAAGGTGTCCAGAGACTACCGGGAAATGATCCAGAAACAATACAGTGGTAGTCACTACCACCGTGTGGGGCTTTTACATACATTTCCACACTTGGTTTAGTTTCTCTATCAACCTAAGCTATTTACGCACATTTTAAAGAGATTCTAAAGACCACAGGCCAGAGAGATTGACGTTGGTACCCAGGAACATTCATAAATGGGTTATTTAACAGATGGCTGGGGAACTTGGAAAAGGAAGTGGCAATTACAGAGGGCCACATGGCCTCACCCTCATTTCCTTTCTGCAGTGTGACCCATAATTGATAATAAGAGCTAAAACATATTGAGTGCTTCCTATCTGCCTGGCATTATGCTAAGTGTTCCAATGCATTTAAGCTTCTCAAAAACCATGTGCTGGGTGCTATTATTATTTCAATTTACCGATGAGGAAACTAAGCCTTAGGGAGAGAAGTAACTTTTCTCTGTTCGTGGCTGTTCCTTGTTTTCCCCCTTGCGCTTCAAAAGGCTCTCTCGTTCCCACTCTTCAGGATTCACTCAGATGCTCCCAGCAAGGCTTTCCCTGCCCACCTGTCACCTGAAGTAGCTCGCAGCCACCTGCAGGTCCTCTGTCACACTCCCTGCGCCTTGCTCATTTCCTTCTAAGAACATCATAGTCTTGTTTACCTACTGATTTGTTTATTGTCAGTCTCTACCATTCAGATATAAGCTTGTGAGGCAGGGACCCTGTCCCTCCCGGCTGCCCTATGGCAACGTCGAGTACGGTGCCTGCAATGTAATAGGTACTCAATACAAATTTGAATGAATGAATGAGTGCCATGTGTAAATGAATGAGTTTAATTAGTCAGTGGGATTTGGACATGAGTTCATCTAATGCCAGAGACCAAGTTTTCAGCCCCTGCTCACGTGTTTACTCACTCATCCTTTCAATACACATTCATTAAATTATCAACAGGTGCCAGGCACTGAGGTGGGTGCTGGAGAATCAAATGAGTAAGACACAGCCTCTGCCCCTGAAAATCTCACATATAAAGGGTGGTGGTGATAGTTTGGAGGGGTGATGAAGTGGGGTTATAAAAAAGCACAAATAAAAATATAATTTGATATGTCTTATAATAGAGTTAAGTATAAAATGACACAGCAGGAAAAAGAAGAGACTACCTAAATGCCCCTGCTGAAGTTGGAAGACCTCTGCCGAGCAGGTGACTTTGAGCCTATCCTTGAAAGAGGACTCTGGACTATGGGGGAGAGAAGAATGTGTGCAGAAGCAAGGAGGGGAGAACTCATGGATATATCTGGGGAGTGGCATGAAACTAGTCCCCATAACCTACACTGCTGTGTCATATTTTAATCATGGCACCCCGTTGTTATGAGGGTCACTGACCAATTGACCCCTTGGTGAAGCATCGAGGAGGGGAATCCTGCCTGGAGTGGGGGTGGGAGGGCACCCCCAGGTGTGTCTGAGTGGTCTCGAAGGTGTCCTCTGACTCTTAAGAGTGACATGACCTGGAGAACTGTTTCTCAGAGGAAGGCACCGAAAGGCAGGACGAGAAACAGCCATATTCCTGCACCAAATAAGGGAATTTCCTAACAAGAGGGCTAACTATAACCACTGTGTATATATATTGGCTTGTAGTTTTCAAAACCTCTCCTCAAACATTACCTCATTTGATCCTTCAGTAGCTTGCTAGATATGTTCTGAAGCTTAGTGAGACCATTATTATTTATTGGATCAACATTTATGGAGCACCAAGGCCCAGCCAGACAGGGGCAATGCAAGCGGGAACCCCACAGCCTCTGGCTCCAAACTGCCCACATGCAAAGAGACAATGAGAGCACATTGTAAAGTGTTGTGAACCTGATCAGCATGGAGGGAAAAGAGTTAGCCTCGGGGACGCAAGAGCAGAGAGCACTGAAGCGATGACTAGCACCCAACTCGGGCAGTCCTGGGCTCAAACCCTGGCCCTGCACCCATTTGCTTGTACGACCTTGGGTAACTAAATGAGAGCATTAAAAATAAATTAAATGAAATAATACATGTGTACCCACTGGAGTGTAGTCTGGCTGCTAAAAAGATGATCTTAAGTAAACAGTCACTTACACAAGATGGAAACTGATTTCTCTTTCCCACAAACATCCAGCCAGGTACTGTGGCTCTGCTCCAGGCAGTCACCCATCCCAGGCTCTTTCCACCTAGTTGATCCACTCGTTCTAGGAGATTGACCTCATCCATCTGGTTCAAGATGACTCCTCATCACAAGTCACGCTGTGTTGAGATGCAGCTTGATACGGGAGCTAAATCGGTGCCGCCAGGACCTGGTCCTCTCTTGGCGTGGCTCCCCTCTCCCCTAGCTGTGGGTTGCACTCTCCTATCTGGGTCGTAGGAGAGTTTGGGCGGTGCAGACTTGATGTGCTGATAGCTTTATGTCCACCATCCCCCTTCTAGAGTCGAATGGAAGTCCTGGACGTGACTCTCAGTAACCCCCACCAATCCTGGTGACCAAGGGGGTGGGAGAAGTTGGTTAGCCAAGACTAATTAGGGCCCCCTCACAAATACATGGCTGAGAATGGGGGACGGACATCAGATTTTCTGGTCTGCTTTGCTTTCCCCATTGCAAAAGCCAAGTCCAGATGATAGAAACAGACCTAGAAGAGTCAGCAGACAGCAGAGGGCAGGGCTTGGGACACACAAAATTCTCCATACTGTTTTACAAGGAGAAGGATGGATGGATTTAAGGGGGTGGGGAAAAAAAAATCTCTCATTCCTTCCTTCAATCAATTATGTGTACTTCTAGGTTACTATAATCCATAGCAGTGGTCTTTGAACTCTACCCAAAAAGTCCCAGTTTTGATTATGCCTCTAACAAGTACATTTATTTATTTATTTTTGTAAGTGTACACATGTGCGGGTGGCACCCCAGTGTCCATCCTTCCTTACTTCCTTAGTATAGCATTCCCTAATAGGCACACAGCATCCCAGAACAGACTACATTTCCTAGGATCCTTTGTAGCTAGGTAAAGTCATATGACCAAATGCTAGCTAAATGCTAAACGTGTACAGTACAATTTCCAGGAAGTATCCTCATGGGAGGGGCATGTAATTCTTCCTTTCTTTCTCCTTGCTGCCTAGAATGTGAATAGGATGGCTTGATCATGACCAACAGCCTTGGATTAGGAAGTGGAAGCTCCATGCTGAGAATGTTGGAGCGACCAGAAAAGACGCCTTACCAACTCTGGGTGGCTTACCTCCAGAGTCCATTTACACGAGAGAGAGAAATTAACTTCTCTCCTGGTTCTGCTGCTAGTGGGTTGGATTTTCTCTTCTTACTTAATCTCAGCCCAAATTGATCCTACCTGATACAGTTATACACATTATGAGACATATACCAAAATAGATATAAAAAAGAAGAGATAAAATAACTCTAAGCAGAAGTTCTGTATTTTTTACCCCACTGGTAGAGTGTCACATACCCTGGGGCTGCATCCCTGCCCCCCTTCATTTTAGAGACCACTGGTCTCCTTGGTCCTTGCCCTGTGGCCCTCCATAAGGTTATGTTTGTGAGGCTGTTTGCTTCTTCTCCCTGAATACACTTTGCTCATTAAGGCGGGGGTCCTGAAGGGAGTCCTCGCAACCAGCCTACTACAGTGGAGGCAGAATCCCTCCCAAGCCCTGCCCTCTGCTGTCTGCTGACTCTTCTGGGTCTGTTTCTATCATCTGGACTTGGCTTTTGCAATGGGGAAAGCAAAGCAGACCAGAAAATCTGATGGAATCGACGAGATGAGATATAATCTGAACCCAGAGCAGTAGGCAACGGTGATTGTCAGGAAAACAAAGACATGTCCTTCTAGCCCCCGCTGCTGCTAAGGCACACCCACTCACTGACCAACCTCTCCGGCCCTCGTTCTGTAGGGAAGGAGGGGGAGGGGGAGAGGCAGAGAGCTTTGTTCCTTGAGAGCTTTCTCCAGCTCTCAGACCCGCTCTTCCCTGGAAGGCAGTGCCCAGGGGCTAGGACGACCACACCACATCAGAGCCAGCCAGAGCACATCCACTTCCACTACTCCAAGTCCAAGGGTCGGCAGCCCCCCTGCAAGGCTGTGGCTGGGAAACCAGACCCTGCCTGGTCTCTCCAGGATCTGGGCGAGTCTGTGGTCCCTGCCTCCATCCCCCTTGAGGCATCAGTGTCCTGATTGTATCATGGCTTCAAAATTCCCTGACTCACGCCATCCTCAGATTTTTAAAAAGAGCTTATTCAAGTGGTGTAGGCTGCATGCTTCACCCCTTCCCACTCAACGCAGCTATTTAATCACAGCATCCGTATGCGTGCGTGCGTGTGTGTGTGTGTGGGGGGGGGTCAGGGAAAGGCGGGGTTGGGGAGGGTCAGAGGGGCTCCTGAACCAGAAGGAGAAGCCCTTGAGGAAGACTCGTGCTGATCTCATTACGAAAGCAATGTCCTGGTGCTCAAAGAATGCTGGCCCTTCACCCCAGAGCTGGGCAGGTCAGAAATGCGGACCTCTGGGACTGTGCAGGTCTGCCAAGGAAAAGCCACCACCCAAGCTGGGGGAGGGACGCTTCCCCCATTGCATCTGATCCCACTGTTCTCCCACACTGCTAGGTAGCCAGGCTGTCATGTGATTTGCTAGTAACCATGGCAACGAACCCGGTTCAGCGAAGTGTGTGGAGAGGAATCACACAGAGAGATGAGGCGGGTGCAGGACGAGGCGCTGTCCCCAAGGGCAGCGGGTCGCCCACTCCAGTGCCCCCAGGGCGATGGTTGCTGTCCTTGTTATTGAGTAAATAGTGACTTGCTCTTCTGAGCTGGAGACACTGGTTGTCACTGATTCTCCTTCTGAGACTTATCTCCTTTATTGTGGAACACAGTTGCTGAAGATGAAAGACAAAAATAGCTCTCTCCGAAGGAGAGGATGCTAATGCATGCTGTGCTTGCGGAGATGGGCTTCTCATTGTCAAACGTGCACCTGCAGTAAGTGGAGGCTTGGGGCCAGTTCCTGTCGCTGCCCCGGACCACCGAGAAAGCCCAGCCGCACCTGACAGGGCGAACACTCCGCGGGCAGCCCGAGCCCGAGCCTGAGAGCCGGTCTGTGTCCCCAAAGCCTGGACACCAGTGTGCGGGGCCCTGGCCAACCCCACTGCCCGCACCTGCCGCTTCCCCTGCTGGGGGAAGTGGCTCAGATCCTCTTTGCTGCGAACAAGGACATAATTACAATTGGGGGAAACACATATTGTTAAGTTAAGGCTGCTGTAGGGTAATGTGGGAGCGCGGCGGGCCCCTCGGGGCTGGAGCGCGCACCTGCTCTGCGGAGACCAGCTAGTGGGTGCCGCCTCCTCTGTGGGGTGGCTCCGGCTCAGCTGGTTCCTCCATGGGTGACCTTGAGCAAGTCACTTGGTCTCTTTGGGTCTCAGTTTCTCCATTCTTACAAGAGGCAGAGTAATATTTGGGCGGCCATTCCCACTGGGCTTTTGTAACAGTCATGTTTGATAAGCCAAGGAAAGTACTTCAAAACTATAAATCCCTACCAGATATCATCATCCTTTCACCATCGTTTTTTTCTGTTGTAGAAGTATCCATTCTTAAAGGGTTCTGAAAGTTGGAAAGAGTAAGCAATCAGGTCAAAAGTTCTGGTAGCGCAAAGCTGAAGATCACCATGCTGGGGTGTGAGATAACGTTTAATGAGTGCAAAGCAAATCTCATGTTGTATTTAATCCTAACACTCCTACTGATGATGATAATTTCCATTTTACAAATGAGGCCCAAATTCATATAGCTGGTGGTAGAGTCAGGGTTCAAGTCCCGGTCAATCTGACTCCCAAGCTAGGATCTTAACTGCTATGGGGGCCCATGCTAGGGCGGGTTTACCGACACATTCTCCATGCGGGTGGAGTTGTTACCGGCTGGTTTCCTGGGGGGTTCACAGAGCAGCATGGGGGGTATGTGTGTGTGTTTGTATTCACAGAGCAGCATCGGGTGGGTTGTGTATGTATGTGGGTTCACAGAGCATGGGTGTGTATGTGTGCATGTGTGTTCACAGAGTGGCAAGGGGGTGTGTATGTTCACAGAGTAGCATGCACTGTGTGTGTGTGTGTGTGTGTGTGTGTTTATAAAGACTGGGCTGCCTTCCTTCCTTATCTGGGAGTTCCCCATTTGTCCCATGCTGTTGCAATGGTCTCTTAGGGTCCTCATGGAAACTTCCAGGGCAGCCTGGAGTGCCGCAGTCTGCTCTGGTTTCAATGGTGAGACTGGAAGCAGGGCTAGTGGGTGTGTGAGGCCGGGGAGATGGAGGCCTGGGAGATGGAGGCTGGGGAGATGGAGGCCGGGGAGATGGAGGCCCGGGAGATGGAGGCTGAGGAGATGGAGGCCCAGGAGCTGGAGGCCTGGGAGCTGGAAGCCCGGGAGATGGAGGCTGGGGAGATGGAAGCCCGGGAGATGGAGGCCAGGGAGATGGAAGCCCGGGAGATGGAGGCCGGGGAGATGGAGGCCTGGGAGCTGGAGGCCTGGGAGCTGGAAGCCCGGGAGCTGGAAGCTGGGGAGATGGAAGCCCGGGAGATGGAGGCCGGGGAGATGGAAGCCCGGGAGCTGGAGGCCGGGGAGATGGAGGCCCGGGAGCTGGAGGCCTGGGAGCTGGAAGCCCGGGAGCTGGAGGCCTGGGAGCTGGAGGCCCGAGAGCTGGAGGCTGGGGAGCTGGAGGCCGGGGAGCTGGAGGCACGCACACTGGCGGCAGGGCAGAGGAGCAGAGCGCCAGGGGTGCCTCACTTAGTGCTGTCTAACCTAGTTACGCTGATCACTTCTGACTCTTCATTCTGCCCACGGCCTGGAAAGCTACCCCCTCAGATGGCCTGGGATGCGTACAGCTCTGGGGACCAGCAGCCCGCCCCCCGCCCCCAGGCAGAAGGAAAGTGTAGCCAGGGTATTTATATAAGGACTTTCCTACCATTGCTAGCCCTGGGGTACTACACTATTCCCTACTGACTTCCTTAAACCTGCGCACCTTTTTATTAAATTCCTTTTATTAAGCTCTCCTCAGTTACCCAGCTGGAGTACGCTAATCTGTCCCTTCTGGGACCCTGCCTGATACAGTAGGAGGACAGTACCTGCCCCCCAGGACTGTTAGGGGAAGTAAATGAGCCAGCATTTGTGCCAAACCAGATAGCAGGTGCAGGAGAGTCAGTGCCCTTCCCCAGGGCATTTGCAGTCACCTCCCCCTCCCCACCCCCCCACCCCCCCACCCCCGCCAAGGGCCAGCAAACACCTGGACCAGCCTGGTGGGGGGCTGGTCCAGCAGCCCAGCTTCCATTCTTCCCCCAGCCTTGGCTAGTTTGCAATGGGAAACAATGCATACTAAATAATTTGAAGGTGGTGATTTTTTTTAATGGGAAAAGGGAACAAAACATTAAGTTCATTGAAAGCACAAACACAGGATCAGATAAGCATATATAACGGTTACTCATTTATCCTAAAAATATTGATTAAGCACCAGCCATAAACAAAAGATTTAGCAATGAATAATATAGACGTGGCCTCATTTTCTCCAGTAGCTCCCACTCCAGTAGAGGAACAGTGTTAAGCAAAGGGCACTAAGCATTCTTTTCCCTTTTACTTAAAATTGTGGCAGGAGGATAATGGTGGTGAGGGAAGTGACTTTTAATTGAGCACTTACTAGGTGCCAGGCACTGCACAACACATTTCATTCATGTTATCTCACTTAATCTCAACATGGGTTAGGCAGACCTATCTCCTTTTTGCAATAAGGAAGCTGAAACTCAGAGACATTATAGGACTTACCAAGGTCAATGACCATTCAAAAAAAAACCCATTTATTGAGCACCTACTATATGCCTTGTCCTGTCGCTGCTTTTCAAGAATGTACAGATAGTAGGAGAGATAGGTACATAAACAGATATTTCTCCAACAGTGGGTTATGTGCAGTGACAGTGAGATGTTCAAGGCGTTATGGGAGCACTTAGGAGGGATCCTCAACCCCACATGAGATGTCAGGAAAGACTTAGGGAGGGCAGCCTGGAGGATGTGAGGCCTCAACTGATTTTTTTATGGATAAGTTGGTAATGGCCAGGTTGGGGTAGGGTGGTAGGGAGAGAAGAAGGCCTCTCAGGCAGAGGGAGTGCCATAAGCAAAAACAAACAAACAAACAAACAAACAAAACACACTGCAGAGAAGGGAGTGTGGACTAGGGGTTGTAGGTAGAGGCCAGGTCCTGGCAGAATTCTATTTGGTCTCAAGAAATGTAGATTACAAGTCCCATAGCTTACCCTCTAGGTAAAGAGCCCAAACAGGGGAGTAATACGGTTAGATCTGCATTTAGATAGATCACTCTGGCTATTAGATGGAGGACAAATTGGAGGTGGACTGGAAGGGGAGCAGGGACTTTTTAGGAGGCCATCAGTAGTCATCAAAGCAAGAGATCTTAAGGCTCCAAAGGAAGTCAGAGGTCCAAGTGATGGAGAGAGGCAACTGTTGGGAGAACTACTTAAAAAATCTCAGAATTTAATGACTGATTGGTGTTGAGATACCTGAGTTGGGGGAAGAGGGAAAAAGGGAGCATGAGAGAGTGAGAGAGAGAGACTCCCTCCTCATCCAGAAGAAAAACAAATTTGGGAGGCATGGTGGCTATTGTTTTGTCTGAGACCCTTTGCATCTCTCGTTCCCCTTTATTCTGATTACAGACCCCAAGAAGTGGAGCCATGATCCAACCTGGGTGGGTCAAATTTGCTCCTGGAAACTTGAATCTGTGCAGTAGCCTTGTTGTTCTTGTTACCAGACACCAGGTTCAGTGATTCTCTTGCTTCTAGGAACTGTCTTGTAATCCTTCCAATTAGTTTCTTCCATGCACAGGCAAGTCAGGGTCTGTCCCTGTTACTTGCAACCAAAGAGCCCTGATGAAGAGAGGAATTCAGCCCCAGACCTGGTGAGTCTCAGGCCCATTGACATCCATGTAAAGACCAGCACCTCCAGGAAACATGAATCGGGGGGGAAAGGTCTGGGCTGGAGTTACTGGCACGTAGATTGCATAAGTCAGAGTCATGGCTGGAACTAAGAAGGAATCGGTGCTGAGAGGGGGGAGGGGAGAGAACACCCACGGCCGTGGGCTGTGTCCAGGAGAACAAGCGAAGTCTTTCAGGAGGAAGAAACAAGAACATCAATGTTCAGAGAGAGCCCAGGACAACTAGGAGATGCTTAATTTCATAGAAACCAAGGGAGTTAAGAGTTTGAAGACTCAACAAGTAAAGATTTCATTTATAGCCAAGGGGCCAGGTAAATCGGGCCCCCACCTTTGGACTTGACAGGAGATTGTTGATGAGCCGAAGGATAGGATCCCTAGAGGGAGGGGCAGGAGTAGGAAGCCAGGCGGCCTGAGGAGAAGGAAGAGGAGGCATGGCTCTGAGAGTTTTACGGGAGATTAGAGAGGAGAGAGTTCAGAAAATGGTGGGTGGGGGCTAGGTCAAGGCAGGGTTTATGTCCGTGGCTCCAGTCAGTGCTCCTTTCAGTTAAATCCTGCTCCCCTGTGCCTGAGAGAATGGGGCTTTGGTTGGTGGAGGTAACCCCAACAGAGCTTTTTTTGCAGGTGTGGTTTTGCCAGAGGTTTGTGCGTCCCTGGGGCAGAGGAGTGTTTGGAAAGCTGACCAAGGGCATAGCTGGCAGCTATCTTGTACCTGCTTCCTGCCTGACTTTGTTCTAGACAGGTCCAAAGCCAATACAACAACTAAGGGAAGAAAAAGAGGCAAAAAAGAGGAAAACCTCACTCAGCTCTTTTGTATTCAAACTAAAAATATCCCTGCCAAAATTTGGGGGGGGGGGGGCTGGTGGAGAGAATGCTCAAACCATGTCTGAGAAATTAGTATTAGAAGGATAGTAACTGCCCCTGTGTTAGTGGATGAGTGTTTTCCTACAAGGAAGGCATGGCTTGGCAGGTCCATTGTGCTGACTAATGCTTCAGATATACTTTTTCTTTAGATATTTACTGGCAGAGCTTCGGCTCAGGTCATGATCCCAGAGTCCTGGGATCGAGTCCCACATCGGGCTCCCTGCTCGGTGGGGGGTTTGCTTCTCCCTCTGACCCTCCCCCCTCTCATGTGCTTGCTCTCTCTCATTCTCTCTCTCTCAAATAAATAAATAAAATCTTTCAAAAAAAAAAAAAGATATTTACTGGCAGAGGATGAATGGGATAGAATTGACAAGATGTTTTAAAAATCATTAAAAAATTCCCTGAAATTATAAAATTTGTGTACGTTCACTGAAGCAGGTTTGGAAAATCCAGAAAGACCTAAAATAGCCTGGAGTCCCACCAGAGTAGTACCATCTTGGAATATTTCTTTCTAGTCTTTTATTTCTAGTAGCAGGTCCAATTTGGATAGTTTGTTTAGTGGCTGATCCACTCACTCCTGTTGCAAGGCTGATCTCAAGAGCGACTGTACAGCAGGATCCTCTCCACAGTGTGTGAGGGGAAGGGGGAAGGATGAAAGATGCAGGGGAAAAGTCCATCTGCTGGTCTAGTTTAAACATCTATGGCATAAAATAGCAACAAAAGAAAGACTGAGTATGCCCCAGAGTTGGATCTGGAACCCAGA